ATCTTACTTGAGAAATAGTGATGGGTCTGAGATTCATTTACCTTTTGAAATTGTCCTCTTTTAAAATACTGAGAAAACTACAAACTAAACTGAGAATACTTCTCCTGCCCAAGCCTTTACAAGAGATTCCTAAAAAAACCCAAACTAAACAAACAAGAAACCAAAAAGCAAACACTTCCACTCCAAAATACAGCAGCTAATGATCCTGCAGTACGGGATGTTGCCTCCTCTCTTTCTCAAAGTTCTGTTATGGGATCATAGGCAACCTTCAGCCACAACAAGGAGGCAATGAAGTGAAATCTAATGAGCACTGTTTATAATAAATATTTTGATTTCTTTCTAATTTGCATTTATTGAAATGCATATAGGAAAACTGGGCTACTTATTTTTTATGGTTTTATTACTGCATGCCATTAACAAAGCAGAATTGCAATGTATGTCCTATTGTGTCATTGTAGATATAACCTTCCATTTTTTCCAGCAGCAAACATCCATGCTAAACAGACATTAATAACATCGTTCAAAAGACTGCTGCTCAAAGTTAGAACGAAATATACAGAATATAAGTAGAAAAAAATAATTGCTAGTCTTGTGATAGGGAAACCATTTTATCTAGAGGACCTTGTGAATGTGTATGGTCAGTCATGCTGCAGTACCTTGGTGGATAGGCTCTGAGGCTTAACAACTCCATAATGAAGCAGATCTTCCAGTCATCTAGCACAATACTTGTTCTAATAGAATCTGACACTTCAACCTCTAATTATAGTGCAATGCATCAAAAAATTTCAAGTCTGTGGATTTAATAATGGACAGACGAAGATAATACATGGGAGGGCCTTGTTAAGGCTTAGAAGAACACCACTTTGATTTTTGGTATAGGAAGACAGGGCATAAGATAGGATTTTTTTGCTAGCTACTAGAAAATTTACTGCACAGACAGTCCCAATCCCCCCCTCCTCGTTCTATGGAAGTGACTTTGTATTTCATCACAGTGATTTGAAATATTGCAATTGAAAAAAATACTTTGAAAAAGACTTTTCCTTAGGATTTTGACAATACAATATCCCTGAAATATTGCCACTCTTAGCAAGAAGCCATTGTCCTTTTCTAGATTTTAATACATTATTCATTGTCCATAAATTTTCCATTCAAAAGATGAGGTGATATGTATCACCTAAATGGATCGGAGTCATGGGAACAGTGAAATCTCTCCCTAGTCTCAAGACCGATATATTAAGATTTCTTCCTTTTCCTTTTTTGTTCTCCACTTTTTTGTCTTTCCAGCATTTAAGTTCAGAAGAAAATATGGATTTAAAGTTTTTCTCAGTAAGTGCTGATTTTTCATATAGCTACTTATGTAACTTGATTTTCACCTTCTGTTTATCCTTTTCTCTTTTTACATCTCTAAGTGTAGATACTGCAAAACACTTTCCTGTGATACTACTATCCTTTCTGATCTGCTATTCCTGAACTGTGTTTCACCTTCAATGCTTGTTTCATCTATCCTTTTCTTCTACCATAGTTGCCAAGTGAATGAGAGAGAAGTCAGATCACAGATCTGTTCCCCAGAACATGATTGATAAGATAGCTCTGTGATCCACAAAAACATACCACTGAAATAAGAACAAAGGAAAGCAGCACTGCACTACGGATATGATGTATTTCATTGGAACTGTCCTTTCAGTCTAGAACATTATTAAAACCAAGCAAAACACAAGAAAATTGAGCAAACATGAGGGGAAAAAACCACAACACACAACCAGAAACCAGAAAAAAACCCCAAACACAAAAAAATACACCACCAAAAAGCCCAAACCTAAAGTATGAAGACACTGCAATTAACTAATCAGGGCTCCCCAGGCAGGTGGTAGAGTCATCATCCCTGGAGGCATTTAAGACAAATGTGGATGAGATGCTTAAGGACATGGTTTAGTGGTGGTAAAAAAAAGTGTTAGGTTAAAGGTTGGACTTGATGATCTTAAAGGTCTTTTCCAACCTAAATGATTCTATGATAAATTTTCTTAGGAGTTAACTATACTCAGAATACTGAATTTTTGTATGATTTCTTATTTGGAATGAAAATTATTTTAAAAAGGAAAAGAGTTTATGAAACCATTTCAAGAAGTTGCCTGTCTTTTCTGAGATAGGCAGTATGCAAATCGCTTTCATTAGAAGAACAGCACAAGGTGGAGAATGAGGCTAGTACTTTTCAAGAGGATTTTATATTTGCATTTTTTGCTGCTAAATAACCAAGTTGGTCCATTTTTTCACTCTAGAATACTAGAATAGGAAAATAAAAAAATGAGCCTTTTGGGGTGAAAGTTAATTTAAAAACAAAAATAAATCACTAAATCTCTTTTCCCTTCTACTGAATTTCTAGTAACACTACACGGAGATGACTATTGGACTATTGGAGCAAATAACCTTAAAAAAAATGACACTCACCTGGGAAAAATGACTCATAGCTAAGATCATAAATATATTGCACAAACTTCTGCTTTTCAGTGATCTGAAACTGAGCTCAAGATGATAGGGAGCCTAAGAGAGCTGTAAATCTTTTCTTCCTGTCAATTCCAAATGACATGCTTGTCTTCTTTTTCCACACCAAATTTTCTTCCAGTGACAAAAAAAATACCTGGACGTTTCTTTGGGATTCCTACACATAGCTAATGCAGTAAGATCATCAGCAGAACTTGTTCTACCTGATAAATGGAAGTCACCAATCAGACAAATAAGCACTCTGAATAATCAGAAATACTGCACATATATTGCTGTTTGTAGAGCTGCAATGACATAAGGCTTTTCTCTGGACAATAGCTGTGAGCTAAGATCCGTGCTTCATGCCATCTCAACAATGAAACTAGGAGTTGACAAAATTCTCCAGAAAACCTGTGTTGGTAATATATTTATTTTACTTGTCATGTATTTTGCACAAATTTTCCAGTCATAAAATATTCTGGGTTTCCTACCTTGACTATTCCATTCTAACAGGAACATGTTTCCCTCAAAGGAAGTATATATAAGCACCGCAAAGTACATAGGTTTTTTAATTTGCAGAATAAATTTCCAGTAATACTTATTAAACCTTCAAGATACAGATACTAAAACTGTTTTATTATAAAAGTTCAATGTTGTAAGATACATAAAAGCATATTTCTAGTGATAGAATCATTTTACTTCCACTTGATATTTTTCCTTCATAATATCTTCAAATTCATTAATACAAGAAATAGCTTTTGAAAACTGCTGCACAAAACTCTACTACAAAAAAAGCATATAAAGACATGAGTGCCCTTTTGCTCTCTGAAAATTATTTCAGTCAAAGGAGAAGGAGATAGCCAAAAGTTTGCACACTTTCATGCAGGCTAAAAATATCCATCCATATGTGGAACTGCTCCAAAAGAGTTATCACATTTTAAATTGACACCTTGACTTCAATATACACATGCCTGTAGATTTTCCTGAGTGCTTGAAGTAATAGCTCCAAAACCACAAAACATTATGTGCAATGTTGGTCTCCCACTGAGGCCAATAAAACCACCTTAATTTAGCCTCGCAATGCTGTGACTGACTACCTGAACTGCACAAACAGAAGATTCCCACTGTTGTTTCTCTGAGGAAAACTTGTGGAGGGCAAACACGAGCAGGGCAATAGCACCAATTTTGCCTCAGTAAGAATCTTGGGCTTGCTCCACAAGAAATAAGCTTCTTGAAACCATTCCACTAGTACAGGCTTTCACAGTGTAGTACGCTGCTCGTTTCACTGGTCCTGGCACAGCAGAATTATTGCACCAGTAGAACAGTCACAATACTGTATTTATATTTTTGAAATATTAACTTAAAAGATCAGTTACAAACTGCAGGCTACAAATACTGGTACATAAAAAGCCCTGAGGTTTACTTGAAGGATCTCAGGTGAGAAAAGGGAAAGAACTAGATAAAGCCTCTCATTCACAAATCCAGTGTAACATTAAAATACAACAGTTCTGCACTTCCTGTCATCTATGATCTTTTGGATGCCAGAAACATCCTCTTTCTGGATCTGTGCATCCTCTTTTGTACACCATTGTTTGAAGAGACTCCCTCAAATTCTATGTAACTGGTTAAGAGAGAACTACTAGGACAACTAAGGCTGCCTTGAACCAAAACCTGTCAAAGCACCAAACACAGACTATATCTATACTAAAACTCGTCTTTCATACTGTTCTGCAGAAATGCAAAGGTCAGTTTTAAATGAGGTTTCCTAGATAAAGGCAGTAATTTAGTCACATGAACTTGGAGCTTGGCAAGGGCTAGAATATAGTTCTGTGAAGAGTAACTTTAAAGACTGTCCTTAATGTTGATTTGGTAAATTTTAAATACGTCAACTGCAACTGCACTATGCAGTCAGTTGTTTCGCTACGGGGAATATATAACTTCAGTACACTGGAATTACGGTTGGAATCAACAATTCCTAAAGACGTTTAGAAGTTTTTGGGAAATGCTAACTTTGTTCTTGGAATGGCACCCTCAATAGCTGACTTTAAATGCTGCCACTGTATCACAACGAAAAACTGATTAAGACTAGGTTTTATGGTATTGGTCTTCACTGTGTTAGTGCGTAGTCTCAGTTGTTCTTAACGTCTCTTGTATCACTGCTACAGAATATTCCGTAATTTTCCTAAACCTAAGTAAGATCTACATGGCAAACAATTTAAAAAATAAAGTAGTTTATATAAACATTCAACAGTACAATGTTGGAATGAACCCAAAGGTTCCTAACCTTTGTTTTTGTTTCCTAACCAATGTTTTTCAAGAGAAATGCGTTTTCGCACTGTAACGTACATTAGACAGAAACTTTTCTGCCTCAGATTCTAATAGAACAACTGAAGATATTGCTAAAGTAATGTGAACTTAGGAAAGAAAACTATGTGACTTTCAGGACAGGGAAACAGGGAAATAATTCTATTAGCTGAAAACTCATACCATTTATTTATTTTGCTTAAATTGAAATCACTTACCATCATGATTGGGATTTCCCAAAGTCCATGGCTCATCTGAGTCAAAATGAGTGTCTCCCCCAATTCCTGGCCCAGGGAAATATGCATGGGCCAAAAATCCTCCCTCCCCATCAAAGGGAGAACTGTCTCCATGAAAACCTGATGCAAAAATGATTGTAATATCCACGTCCCTCTTGCCATTTTCTAATTCAATATAAGGAACTTCTTCAAATGTTAGAGGAGTTACATTCTGCCACACATCGAAGGCACGGCGAATGGCTTTACGAGTTTCAGCATCACCTACTTTTGGAGTGACGTTCTTTATGCTGAAAGAGACAGAGAAAAGTTAAATAGATTAAAACATGAGATGAATGGCACCATATCCTTTAAGAAGAATATTTTTAAACAAGCTCGTGCAAAGTTGTGTCAATCTGTGTAGCCCTTTATGCTAGAACTTATTATATGCTAGCTAGGTTACTCTCAGCAATACAAAAATCTTATTTTTAGAAGATTAAAATATTTTAAAATGAAAAATTCTTAACAGTAGGATAACCAGATTAATCAACCACTGACTGTTTACCTCCTGGATCACAATTAGAATTCAGCACAGCTGAAGAACGGCATGTCATTTCTGATCAAAAGAAAAATGTTTCCAGTTAAATGAAACTTTAACTTCTTAGTGAGTCCATTAACAATAGCAGAGCTCCATACTGTGACCACCAACCAGTATTCACAAAGCCTTAAAAACAGTTTTTGTTGCATTTGTAACTAAAGAGATAATTCTTTTTTAGAAACAAAGCCTTTTTACTTCAATACAGGCTAAGATGTCCTTTTATGATCTAATTACTTCTATAAATCTTTCATAAAACTGTAGAATTCATCAGAGAAATTATTTTATAGAAGACAATTATACGCTAATTCAGAAATGAATATCTAAAAAGAAATTTCAGTCTCTACTACTTCTTCAAATGACACAGGGAAGAGTAAGGAAAAAACCCATCAGAATTACAGCTGAGTTCAGAGTCACAGTTACTAGTAAATTATAGTGGAATCATTGTTTAAAAAATCCCAACAAACAAAACAAAACCAACAACAACCTTTTCTATATATTTTTATTATTGACTTCCAGAAAAGAAGGCCAATAATCAATTTCAAACATCCAATTTCCTCCATCATTTTTACTCGGTTCCTATGGCCAGCAAAATCTCTATTAGGTTTGTGTCTGTTCTGAAACTGCTGTAATCAGAGGCTTTTTGTTAATTTGACATGTACTCAACTGAATGTGCAGCACAAATTTCAGAAATTACATATTTCTAGGATATATGTAAGATTTATTTAAGTTTACACAGCATGGCCTCTTAACAGAGAACAAAAATATTTTCATGAATAAATCTGGAATGATTGTTCTGTTTGGTGCACTAAAGGTGCTTGATTATATAGTTTTGTAAGCTTATATAAATGGAAATAAATCCTTCAAGCCTAATTTCATAGATCTGGCTTCATATGTATAATATTTTGTTCATAGGTTCATATAAAAACCATAAAGTTACCTATTTTGAGTTCCACTCAAAAATACTCTTGTATTGAGCCCAATAATGCTAGTCCAACCAAAGCATTATTTCTTTTTTGCTACTATGTATGTTCCAAAGAGGTATCAAGACAGATTAGAAGATAATATGTGGTAGAGAATATGCTACTTCTCTTGATCTTTTGTTGCAAAGATGATTTAACAAGTCATTGCATACCTTTGCCTATTCTCTTATTTGTCTGGCTTGTAACATTGTTTTTTGCTTTGCCTTTCTCTTTCACATACATGAGCTTTGAAAACACTTTTCTCCCTAAAAAAAGACATTTAAAAGACATTTCTGCACTGCAAAGTCATTACTTTTCCGTTATCTCTTTGAAATCAAAAGTTTGAACTCTTTAAATCTCTTATAATAAGACATAATCTCCAGTCTACTAAATATTTTCTGTGATTTTTATTGAACTTAGTCCAATTTTGCAACGTTCTTTTAACACTCTGTCAGAATTACAAATTACTGCTGTACTGATCTCGCTGTCAGAAAAAGTCCTCAGATCTACAGGTATAACCTTACCCTATATAATTCAAATGTCATGTGATTCAAATTGCTTTGTATGATGCTCTTACACTTACTCACTAATCAATAACTTCATGATAATTGTTATGTTGATTTTCAGGTGATTAAAAAAATACTGGATTCACTGGACAACCAGAAGTCCCTTCAGAACCCCTCTCTGAAAGTTCCCTCCTCTGTAAATTACTTTTTAGAGATGTTTTAGTTAGCAAGTTCACAAACCACTCATCCTGTGCCCCTTGAGAATGTACTGGATTTTACAACCAGTGTCACGTGGCACTAAATCAAAACACTTCACAAAAGCACACTTACACTGCCATTACCAAAAGCCTGACAACAGTTAACCTGTTGCTATGCTAAGGGTGCCACTCACAAAGATGATGAATTTTCTCTTAGTCAGTCCTGCAGTGTACTCTCTAAAGTGCGTAAACTGTCTCAAGCACGGCTCATTGAAGTATTAGAGCCTGAAAGACACAGGTTGGGTTTTTTTTTATTGTTTTGTATTTAGGAATACAAATACATCTCAATAAGAGTTACAGATTTTGCTCTGTTTACATAACACTAATAATACCTTGGTGTTATGTAAAAAGAGCAAAAGGATAGACTTATGCTGATATATGTGATATGTGGAAATGGATAAAAACAGACTGGATATTTGTATTGGTGGTAAATTGATTAATTACTTGGTCTAAAAGAGTCTGACTCACATTTTAAAGCTTATCACTTTATATTTTTGTGCTTTTTCAATGCACAGAATTAAATTTTACTCATTGATTACAAATGAAAAATTGAGCCATTGTACTAGTTTCAGCAACATTAACTAGGAGTGATTTCCTACCAGAGGAGATTGTTTCCAGGGGATTCAGCTATTGAATTACTTTTGAAATAACATCTTACATCTCAAGATTCATTGTCAAGAAGAAAGATTTTCCAGACCATACATTCTGTGTTAAAAGAAGACAGATTTCTGGCTTCCAAAACAACATTCTGGAGAGAGAAAGATGATACTGAAAAATGTAGATTCTAAAAGAAATTAAATAAATCAGTAGTTGTTCAAATATTAGAGTGTTTCTAGAAAATTATTGTCCATTTTAAAGTGTTTAACACAAGCCACATTCACACCTAAAAGGGCAAGTTCAAATACTGTTGGTAACACTAGTCTACCTTGGAATTTTGCTGAGAATAATTCACCGATGTAGACATATGAACTCCAATTTATTATACATTTCTTTCATGATGTTAATCATATAACCTCCAAAGGAAATGTACAAGAATAAGATCAATCCCAGTAGACAATATATCAACTACCAGAGACTCTAGGACTCATTTCTTAAAAGTCTTCAGTTTAGACATATCACTGCAATACCTGATAAAGTCTTGCATGAACCCTTTTCCTATTACATTTGGCTGCAGTCACCCAAAATAGTGACTTACACTCAACAAGTATCACAGAATCACAGAATGG